AACTGAAAGAGAATAAACTCATGCAGGCAATGGAAGACACTAACAGGGGGCAAAGGAAGGCTCGGGGAAAAGGTCATACATCAGAGTCTTTCAGAGTCTTTCACTTGTACAAACTGATTGAAACTGATACAATTAAACATAGTGAAAATATTTCAGATGCTCATCTCAGAATAATTGCTTTTAACAACTCATGCATCTGATCTGTTTTATTCAGGTGGTACGTGACCAGATCACACACTGCACTATGAAACTACGGCAGACCACCGGCATGATGGAGTACTGTCTAGAAGTCCTCAAAGAGAATGATCCAAGTGGTTTCCTCCAGGTATTCTACACACCTCATGTTTGTGCGTGTGAGACGAGTATGAAGATGAGTAACAGGGGATGTTACAAAGACAAAAAGAACACAAAAAAACAACAAGTTCATCATAATCTAAAAACTATTAAACATCTAAAACAACCGAACATCAGCACAAAAACAACGTGTGGCAGAATACATTCCTTCTTATGCTGAGGCCAAGGGAATTATGTTACTTAAATAAGTAAAGCACAGGACAAAAACACTATGAGGTCTTACTCGATTAAAAATCAACCCAAATCAAATCTTTTTCTGAGATATTTTGAACCAAAAAATGTAAATGAAGGTAGGAAGGAAGCGTGACACACAGATCCTCTGAGCACATTAGGAGAAATCAGCTTCACGGGGAGCCTCTGATGTTTGTTGAATCGGCACAGCCAAAAAAAACAAGCAAACCGTGGCGTAGCAGAGGAAGGAGTCAGCACGGAGAACAGCAACAACAACAACCCCACATGCCTGCCTGCACTTCAGCACTACAGTCACAGCAACATGCATCTTATTTTAATACATCTGCAGCTGATCTATTTTGAATCAACTTTACATGCCTAGTAATCAATAGGTTGACATGCTCAGTAGCTAATAAATAATCATTGATCTTTGTATGTATAGATGGAGAAACGTGACCTCCTCAGAAGAAATAAATGTTGGCTTAAAGGTTTCCTGCAGAACGCTAAATCATGAAGACTTTTCAAGACCATCAGACTTTTTTTTCATCTTTAAATCTGTCTCGAGTCTCAGCTCATGCAGAGTCAGGGCTTTATATCAAAGTTCACACAACTCTCTCAGGAAACAAAAAAGGCTTTATACAACTTTATTTGCATATCTTTAGTAGTATATATCAAAAGCGCTGTATATCTGGATGTGTGAAATCAGGGGGAGGTCGTTTTTGAAATTTGAAATAGAAAAAATATTCAGTATTTGTGTCACCACTGGAAATACTTCCTTTCCTTATGTGTTAGGTGGTACGCCTGGATAGAGCACGCACGTGATAGAGGAAGGGCACATGACACCCACTTACTCAACAATGACCTGCTCCCACAGACTCAGGATGCAGTGCATGTGCAGAAATATTTGTAGTGTATCAGCAAACCTCTACGGGGGCATATTACAGCCACAGAGAGCAAGAAAAAAGAAAAAAAGAAACCAACACAACAGCAAAAAAGGTTTAAAGTTTAAAGTCATAAAAACAGAGAAAACAGTGATGAGAAAAAAGTCGGGTTTTATTTTTTGTGTAAAGGAACATTTCAAGGTTAAGTTGTAAAAAAAGTCATTATTTGAGGTTCTGGGATCAATAACTTATAAAACACATTATTAGACGCCAACGACAGATCTATCCGATGAGGTCGATAAAGCAGACCAGAAGCCACAAGCTCATTTTCAATAAAACCTGTCATCCTCTAACCTTGGCTAAAACACATTTAATAATGTTTAATTACATTTCTCAAGTCTTACAAATTATTGATTATAAATAACAAAAACAAAGCAACAAAAAACAAACAAAAGTACGACGACAATACAGGGCTATTCTATTCTATTCTATTCCATTCTATTCTATTCTATTCTATTCTATTCTATTCTATTCTATTCAAATATGTGATTTTA